TTTGGTAGTCACAGAAAAAAGGGAAAAAAAAGTACCAGAAAGGTACTTTGTGATTTCAGGGAAGGAAAGAGCATATAAATGGAAAAAATCTCACCCAGACTGGGATAAGTGAGAAATGTGTTAAACTTTCACTGCTTAAGACTGAGAAAGCTCTGCCCTTCTCTGCTCTGTACTGCAGACTGGGTGGTGTACAGCCTTCAGGGTGCTGTCTTGCACCTTCTCTGTCTTACATACACGCTGCTGGAATGGACTTTAAGGTACAGGGTTTACATCTCATTCCAAATTCTTCTAAAATGTGGGTGTTCAGAACCAGTCAGTTGATAGCCCTTTCGTTTGTGGTCCAGCTGGTTCAGTGCTGCATTAGGAGGACTTTCACCTCTGTGTGCCTGTCTCTCCTCTGACATGTCATCTCAGCCATCCAATCTGTTGTGCCTTTTGGGGTAAGGCAGCTTTCACGCACCAGGACACTGGGTCCAGCTCCAAGGGTTGCTGGATATCAGGGTAATATAGAAATTTTAAATCTTTGGTCAGATCTGGTGATGATTAGAAATCGTTTACATGGATTTTACAGTGCACAAATTGGTACATGTTCTTAACAGTCAGGGTTTGGCTAGAAACTTTTGGAGAGGAATCAAACCAGGACAGGCTGCTACAGACTTACAGACACAATTTGAAATTTTTCAGTGAAATTAGTACCAGTGCTTAGTCAAATTATGTTTGCTTGTTGACTTTTCTTATCTAATTAGTCCCTACTTCACCGAGCTGCTTCAACTTGCATGCACTGAAAAAGCAGAAAGGATTATTTGTTGTTGAATTTAGCAGAGAAAGACAGCTGATGATGCATAAGTCTATCTGACACCTAGCAAGTTGTGTAATCCTATTTGTTAATGTTTTTAACTTTCCATTTTCTTAGGATAGAGTTTCAAGAGCAAATAGAATAAATGAGATTAAATCTATCACCCTGAATTACTTTTCTCTGAGTTATGAGCAGAATCACTCTATGTCAGAGAAGTATAATTATGAGGAAAATGCTGCCTGTGTAATTGTGTGCTTCGTTCAGAAGAATTTGAGATCCATAATTATCTCTAGTATGCCATGATGGCATGTGCTGACTCTTTAATTTCTACAGTAAACAAAACTATTTAAGGTTTCCCTCCTGAGCAGTTCTTGGCGTAGCATTGCTGGTACCCACAACAGTTGCAATATTATCTTTCAGGTCTTCTGGTTCAAGTGAGGGATCCAGATTCACTTGGAATAGAGCATCTGTTGTACATTTATTGTCACATCTACCTTGAACTTAAAATGCTGATTGTTCAGTAAGGAATAGTGGCCATGGGGAACAGAGAGTCTTCTGAGCTGTAGATATGCCAGGTGAAGCTGCTTATGCAAAATTCAAGTCATAGCACATCTGGTGCTGTGTTCCATCACATAACTTTTTGGTGGTCCAAGGATATTGCCTTTGACCTCTACAATGACCATGATTCTGCAGGTGCTCCTGGAAACAAAAAGGGTGCAGCTTTCTTTGACGATAATTAAACTGTAATAGAAAAGCTCTGGGTTAGGACTTGGTGCTTTTGCTCCTAGATGTCAGTGCACATCAGAAATCTTGGGGTTTAGTTTTTCTCTCAGAAAAATCTGGTGTGGGTGCTCCATTAGGGGACTACAAACTGCTCTTGGCTGTACTTTATATGGCCCCTATAAAATCTGTGGTAACCTTCATGCTATAGAATTCCTCTGTGAGATGCGTTGAAGACACAAAGACTGTAGCCTCTTGAAATTTTGGGTTCACCAGCCAAAGGAAGCTTTGAATCCATGTGTTGTTTATCTAGATTTGTAACAACTTCTGTTAGAAAAAGCAACTGAAAAGTTCAGGTAGATTTGTCCCATAGATTGGTGTTATTGCTGCTAGAAGCCGATCTCCTGGAAAAAGGATATGCACAAAGTAAAAAAGAAACACACTATAGGTCCTGCTCAGACCTTTCTGCAGCTTCCTTCTCTAGGCAGAGAGTGCAGAGGGTCGGAGGTCAGAGTCTTGCATGATGGATTAGTGCTAAAACAACCTGCTAGACTTGGATTAGAATTTCTGTTACTTTGCCTAAAATTATGTGTGCATTAGAGGGGAGAGGGACAGGGAGGATGCGTAATTTTGGGGAATCCTAGTAGCAGTTTTATTTTCTTTTTCAGACTTTTTTACAGTTACGAGCCAGGACTTGATCTCCACATCTGTTTTTATCAGTCAGTCTAGTTTACAAATGAGGCCCCTTTTGTCCCATCTAATTTTATGTAATCTGTGATGCTGCATAAAGATTCTGGGAAAAAAAAAAAAATTAGAAGGATTGTGAACAGAGCTTCTGGCTAATATGTACAATGACTCACTCTATCCTTTATTTCCACTTCTGTGAAGTATTTTCAGATACACTATTTACCCATTAAATAAGCTGTTTAGTTGAGCTTATGGATAAAGTTTTTCCTAGTATTTTGATGTATTTGTTTGGAGCATGACAAAGTAAAACACAAATGAGAACATTAACAAATGCTTACATTAATCATCTAAGACAGTCTCTCTCATTGTAATCTTGTCCTGAGTAACTACTTATCTGTAAGAAAGAGTTTTCTCTCCCTTGATTTGCCAATTTACTTGGCTTTATTGCCAAGGAAATCTTTCCTCCATGCTTGACAAGCAATGGGTAACTTCATAATCTTTCTCTGTGTAGGCAGTTACTTCCTGGGAAGAAATTAAGTCAGTCATACCCATTGCTGAATCTAATTTTACTATTAATTTAGAGGGAAGAATCCTTCCCTCGGTAAAATTAATTCTATAACTGCTTATTTCAGGATTTATTTTGCTTTCCTTCAAAGGATCTGGCAGAAACTGTTGTTAGTGACAGACCTGCAGCTTGCTTGGCAAGGTCACTGTGGCACATTTCACTTGCCTTGGTTTTCAGTCATCGGCAGCTGCTTTGAGGAAAACTGAGCATAATGGCAAGTCAGTATGACCTTGCTGCACATTGAAATTCTGCCTCTTGGGGAAAATAAGGGTCTTAGGGTACCTCATGGAGACAAACTGTCTTCATCTGGATCTGTCAGAGCTAGTTCATCTCAATCAGCTTTCTCTTCCTAGAAGGCCTGCTGTTTTACCTGAGCTTCACAACCACCTGGATGAGATCTTGAATGCAGGAGAAACACAGAAATTCAGCTCTCCTCTGCTGAGTTCTCAGCCCTTTCCTATTCTCTTAGTAGGTGTTAATTTCCTGGGCCTTTCCCTGCTTAAGACCAGTCTCAGGAGAAACCCCATGCTTCTGCTCCCCATCTGTGGGCTGTAGCAAAGCATCCTTACTCAAGTAAGAAGATTTATTATTTTCCTTCTCCCCTACTCAGCCTGGAGGTTTGGCCCTGGCCACAGACATACCTTGCTCTTGGCTTTACAGTTCATTCACCCTGGGTAGGATTTGTCCATCTTTTACTCGCTCTGGAACAGGTGGATTGAAGCACACACAAGGAAAGGTCCTTTTAAAAGCAGTTTGCAGCAGTGCAACATTAAAAGCCTGGCTGTGAAGAGGAGGGGAGAGTAAAACAATCTCTTCCTGCCTGCTCAGAAAGAAAGGGGAGGAGGAAATGTGGTGCCCATCTAATGTTGGCCACAACAGCATGTTTGACACTGTCTCTTCAAGGTCGATAACACCATTCTCAGCTGTTCAAAACAGCGTATCGGTAGCAAAACCAGTGCAAATTAGATTTGGGAGAAAGCTGGTTGTTTTTATTTTTCTTTCTCTCCACAGGCTGCAGCGTGGCAGACAATCAGATTCAACTGTAGGTGTAATTTAGGCAGAATACAATCCAGAATATGTGGGCTGATATGTGATTTATGCTGATGGTGGCAAGGTGTTGCTCCTGAATGGCTGGAGTCCCTCGCTTTCAGGCAGGTAGAAATCTAAGGAGCCACTCAGTCAGGGGTCTTACTTTTTTTTAAAGAGATTCTTTGTCCCACATTTTTCCATATTTGTATTTGCAAGATTCACGAGATTGATCAGATTTTTCCCCTCAGCAACCCTATAACACCAAGCCTCTTTATGCAGAACAAAGAAGTAGATTTGGTCTAGTGTTTAGAGAAAAGCTCTGGAGAGGTTGTAAATGGCTGAGTGAATAAACTCTGCCTTTTATTGAGTAAAGTTGCCTGGAATACAGGCTGTTTTCTGCCTTGTTCCTGCCCTTCTTTCTGGTGGGAAGTGTTCTTTGCAGCTAGAACAGTTTTCTTGTAACTAAGAGCCATTTCTCCATCCTGTTTCCAAAGTCTCCTACTTTTTCTCCTTTACCCTTTATCTTCAGTTCCTCTCAGTTACATTTGCCAGGTAGGCACAAGCCTTTCCAGTGTTTCTGAGAAGTGCTCATGTGGCAGATGCCATCCACTTTCTTTTCAATATTGTGTTCTTATGTTCTGCTGACACCTGCAGAACCTGTGCTCGTTCTGACTAAACCTTCACCTAAAGAGAGGTTTGGTAGTGTTGGTTCTGAGTGTTATTTGGAGTTGAAAACCACTCAGGGAAGCATAATGAGAAATTAGTGTGCTTCTCTTTGTACCTGCTGTGGAGATCAGTGGTTCAAGTATATTATTCTGCTTTACACCAGTGAAAACTGAAAGTAACACCAAATGCAACAAGGCTATATAGAGGTAAAAAGAAATGCAACAAAGGCTTTACACAGAGAAGCAAAATGCCAGGTTGCAAATAAGGCAATAGGGTTGCAAAGCCCCATGAGCCATGTGAACAATTGGTGTTCTCTGTGCTGTGGAACAAAGCAGCTTTACAAAGGGTGTCTGCAGTGTACTTTAAATCACTGAAACTGGCTCTATGGAAATTTCTGTTGTTAAATTGCAAATTCAGCCTTGCTGTGTGGCTAACGGGGAGGGGACGAGATTACTTCTCAATGTGATGATAATGAATGGGAAGAAACTGCATGTTACAGCCAAAAGAGCCCTTACCTATTACTTATCTTCTCCACAGGTGCCCCTGGTTGACAAAAGCCATCTCCCCAGCCATTCCAGTGTACAATGGGCTCGTGTTCTTGTTTGTACTGGCAAACTTCAGCATGGCAACTTTCATGGACCCTGGAGTTTTCCCACGAGGTAACAGAGAATGGGACTGTTGGGGCGGGATTTGAAAACACAAGCCAAATAAGGTGTCAGGTATCCAAAAACACTGTTTGCTGACTAAACCCCTTTATTCTGGTATTCTTTATTGTAGAGTTTATTTATTTATTTATTTATTATACTCAGCTGACAGTAGAGGTGGGATGGTAGTGAAATGCTGGATACCCTCCATCTCTCTTCTGAGCTAGGAGATGTCAGTTGTCCTTGCAATTGCTCAGACTGGCAGTCGAGGGCATAGGGTTGCACAGAATGGTTCTCCTTGAGTAGCTGTCTTAACTGATGTGATTGGGATTGCCATTCCCTGTGTCATGCTGGCACATTGGATTTAAGTCACTGTCTTCACAATAGGTAGCAGAGCATGGTGGAAGGGAGAGGCTGAACTTTCTGAAACAGCTTCATCAAAGCAGACCTTCCAGAAAGCCTTAAAACAAATGCAAAAGCATTGAATGCTAAAAAAGAGAATGATTAAGGCTTGCTTTAGAGTGTCTAAAAATGTATACATTTAGAAAGATAAGCCTGCTTAAATTAGTACTGATTCACAGCTGATTGAATAGCATAAAGATTGCTCAGCTTTTGTAATGGGAACCACAGTGCAGCTATCTCTTTTAACACATCCTAATGAGAGAATTACCACCTCATTTTGTCCAGCTTCCAATAATTATTCACATGCAGTTTGCAGCAGAGATTCCTCTGGGCAGTCTTGCTAAACCAGTGGATCTGTGCTCTCTGCAAGCTGTGCTTTCTCACCTCTATTTACTGAATTCAATATCTGTTTTGAATTGATACCTGACAAGAACAAGGTACCTGTGCTGCTGGCTTCCCTGAATAGCAAGTGCCAGGTTTCTCCAGGTAGCAGGGTCTAATGATGAGTATCTGTCTGCCGTTCCTTTCAGATGAAGCTTTTGAACCCTTGTTTAAGTGTTACAGCACTCCAGTTAAGGAAATAATTACGTGTAGAGGCAAAGGCAAGATTCAGTTATTTGTGCGAGATTAAGTGATGCAGTGTTCAGGTGCTTAAAGGTACAAATACATGCTACTGAGATTTTCAAAAGAGCTTTCAGCACTTAGAGCTTTTACAGTCTTTCCTGGACTTCTTAGTTCCTCCATCTCACCAGAGATAGCAGTGGTTAAACATGCTTTGGGTGTGTGGTTATCGAAAGCATCCATGCTCTTTGACTTCAGTAGGAGGAGAGCTGGAATAAAATTGTTCAGTTTTGAAAATCTCAGTCTAGGAATCTAGTATCATTGTGCAGTGTAGATCCCTGAGACTGGAGTCTGCAGCTGGCTGCTCCCTGCGCCCTCGGGGTGACCAGTACTGAGTGCATGATAAATTCTCACCTTTCCTTACACTTCTCTAACTTTCTCTTCCAAACAAGACTTAGTTTTTAAAGGAGAAAAGCACTGGGAGATTAAATGGAAACTTTGGCTCTTCCCTCCCTTCCATCTCCCTTAACACAAGGGAGTCAGGTGCAAAGCAGGAAGAGGAGGAGTTTCCCACAGCTCACCTTTCTTCTGTTTCTTTCCCTTCACTTGTGGCCTTGGCTCTATAACTCTGTGCTGTGCACGTGCTTGGTCTGGAAGAGAGGGGAGTGGGGAAAGGATGAGAAAAGATATGGAAGTAATCCTGGAAGAAACTGATGGAGTAGGAGTTTAGATGTGTGAAGGAAGAAAACTGATAAGGAAAAGATGGAAAAGACTATAAATACCAGTGCTGAGAGAAAAGAGGAGCAGATGTTATTTCAGATCACAAGTGTGCATGTGAAAAAAAGCTATCACCACCCCACGCCACCCGCACAGCTGCCAGCCTAAGGAGTTAAAAAATTGTAGGAGTGATTTAAAATGAATATACAATAGATGTTTGCTTTCTGTTATTGAAATTAGCTCTAGTCATCTTTGTTTTCAAGCTTTTTAGCACATTTCTGATAGTTACAAATTTACTTCAAAAACCGCAACAACAATTAAGCAATACAAAAGCTGAGATTCTAATGAAATCACATGATTCCTTTAAGGAAGCTACCAGAAGTCATAAGATATGTTATAAAAATATGAAACTTGGCTGCCCTGTGTCGCTGAATCATAGTGTGAGAATCTGTGTAGTAAGATACATTCCTCTGCCAATATATTCTTCTGCTCAGATCACTGAAAGCTGGAAATAAACCCATTTCTAGCTATAATGTATATGCTTACAGGTTCTGTGGCAGATATAATTTGAGCTATGGGGGGAAGCAAGCCCAGTTCATTTTTGTATTTTTGAAGAGGACTTGAGTTAAACTCCAAGTCCCATTATTCATTTTTTAATCATTTTTTAATTTGCTGGCTCTCTGAATGTTTCTGGTATGAATCAGGATTGTCTCTGTGCAAGTGAGTTGCCAGTAGTACATGAAAATGAATGAGAAGGAAAGGAAATATTAAGTCACTGAAGCTAAGGCTACCCTGACAAATCTGATTTAAAGTCTGGGTTGAGACTGGCAGTGTTTGTTGCTGGGTAATTATAGATACCAACTACAAACTGGCCTCCAGTATTTTTGAGTGGAATCTATACAAACTCTTCAAGTGTGTGTCAGTTCTGCAAGACTAGTGTGTTTATACGCGTGTAGGTATATACAACGTACAGACTTTTTGTCTGCATAGTCAGTTTTTTTACAAGAGCTTAAATAGTTTGAGTGTTCTAGTGTCTTGTTTTCGTACGCCTACATGTATTATACAGCATGGGCTAGTTTATAATAGTATTGAAGAACCTACAGATTGTGTTTATGGAAGTGCCTAATGGATTTAGAGTCTAGCTGTCATGAAGGAAGATTAGTTATGAAGGAAAATTACAGAGAATGGTGCCTGTACAGCACTCTGCTTCCATGCACAAACATTAATCCAGAGAACACTCTTGCAAGGTAAATACTGTAACTCAACCAGACCCCAAGTTCATCTAAGTAAAAAGAGAAATTCCCTCTGAAGTCAGTAAAAATTGGATCATTTTATTAGGGATAACACACCTAGAGAAGATTTAATACAGAACTAAATGATGGTGATTGATGTCCCACTGGGACAATATTATCAAATTCCGCCTAATTTGGAGCCAGTCAACCAATGCCAGCTGCACTATAATGCTTAACCAGGTGTTAAATAGATGTGAACTTCTTAGATTTTCTCTGTCAAAACGAAATGAATAAAGATTACAAGAATCTAGAATAAAATATGAACTTTCATGAATGTCATTCTCATTTTTTTTCCTTTTCTTCCCAATATATATTTGTCTATTATAGACTGGCTTTTATTTTCTGCATTTATTTTTAAATGACTTCTTTTCTTAAACAGGGCAGCGCTTAGCTGAGATGATAAACCATCTGCCCTCCATGTTGTCCCTAATAAGATGACTGCCATATTGTCATCCTCATCTTACTAATGACTAGCTTGGGGCCACAGAGTGAGGAAATTAGAATACAGGACTTCCTGATTCCCAGTCCTGTGCTCAGATCAGTAGACCATGCTGCTTTTGAGAGAGGTGAGATCAAGGGTTTGGGTGATTTCCATCCCTTTTTTGGCTCTAGTCTGCAGCTTATCTTACTCATCCGGGTTGTAAATGCTGACTAAGACTCAAACACCTCTCTTGTCCAGGGGCTGGTGAGTAAGGGAGCACGGCACTCCTATGGAAGGCGCTAAAAAGAGCCCTGATCACTGACGTGTTCTGTAGCCCAGACAACCTGTTCTGACAGTCCATCACTTCCACCACTGTTATTTCTCTGACAAGCCCAAGAGCACATGCACATCCCCTGTATCCAAGGCACTGACTGGATTAGCTCTTTTATCTTTACCCTCTGTTATTTCCACTAACTTTTAGTTTTGCATTGAGCAGCAGATGAAGATGAAGATAAAGACGATGACTTCCGAGCTCCACTCTACAAGAATGTGGAGATTAAAGGAATCCAAGTACGGATGAAATGGTGTGCCACCTGCCACTTCTACCGTCCTCCACGCTGCTCTCACTGCAGCGTCTGTGACAACTGTGTTGAGGTAACAGTTCTGTTGATTACGTGATCTGTTGGCTTTGCCTCAGTGATAGGGTTGCACATACTACAGGAAACATGCAGTTGGGTGCTTCCCCGAGTATTTCAGTTCTTGAAGTTCCAGCTGTAAGCCTTGTTGATGGACTCCTACTAATTAGTACCATTCAAAACATGGCCCTCAGTTATAATATATGTTACATATGCAATAATGTTTCATTTCAGCTTTGTTGCCGGTGAGAATTAGAATAAAAATTAATAATGCTGGCTATGTCTTCCTTGAAGTACCGAAGACATTGTGAATGTAAAAAAGGGGTGAATGAAAGAGTTGATGCAGGGGCAGAGTTTAAGAGAGCAGGAAATTCAGGGTGAACCATTGTAGCTTGTCATGTGTGAGCTTAGGGCTGATCATTTAATTTGGATCAAACTGGTGCCTACATTAGTGGACAAACAGAGAAGCTAGAATGGGGTGTGAGCTGTAGGAAAAACAAACTCAGAATTCAGGAGTGGTTCTCCAGTCAGTGGAAGGACTCTGTGTTTGTTTCACCACCCCAGCTCAGAGCATGAACTTGTTCATGTTTCTAATGTTGATCGCTCTAAATTATGGGACTTTCATGTTTCTTGATTGCCCTAGGGTCTTTGTGAGGCAAACAGGATTTTTAAAAAATAGCTCCCAAACAGTAAGAGGTGCTTTTGGGCTATAAACAGCTCCCAAACTTGTAAGTATCCACAGCATTGTATTGCCAGGGGGAGTTTTTTGTTGCTGAGCTAAAAATTCCACTTCTTAAGGATCATTTCAGCTGCAAGGTCTATTTTTTTTTTTCCACTAGAAAGATGAAATCTTTAATATGTCTAAAATATATTTAGCTGTGCCATTAAAATGAAAGGAATTACTAATCAGAAAGGGAAAAATACCAGAGTCAGCGGGAGTGCTGTGTGCACCATCTTTGTCCTAATCCTCTTTGCCATAAGCAAGGGAAGAGTCCCAAAGAAAGCAGCACAGTTACTGTGAGAGAAAGGCTGTCTGGGTTTGTCCTGTGTCCGTCATTTTCTCCTTCAGAGCCATATATATCTAAGTTATAATTGTCTGGAAGCAGTGCTGTGCCATTGATAAATGGTACAAGGCTATCCTGTTGTGGAAGGCCTTAGAAGGATGTGGCATTTGAGAAGATGGAGAGTAAGGAGCTGCCAGAGTCCCTGAGTAGAGGGGAACAGCCACAGCTATTCATAAATTGTGTCACACAGTTTCTTTAGATTATTGTGAATTGTTGAATAGATGGATTTTTTGTAGAAAAAGTCATATATTCCTGGTTTCAAAGCGTGTTTTCACTAATTCTAGATCCTGAGGATTGTGTAGATGATGGTAAATTCTCAGTTGTCCCATGGAATTTCTCTCTTCTGCCCTCCCCAGTGACTCAGAGTGAAAATTAATTTTCAACAAATTAAGTTTTCTCAGAAAAGGATAGCTCTAAACTCACTGGTATAAACACTTGCAATTTCATGCTGCCATAAGGCCTCCACGGGAGTCAGTTCTGCAGCAGAAATGAAAATGGGAGAGAATCCAAAAGTAACATAAAGAAAATAGCAGAATGCAAGGTGACTCTCCCTAGCTCTCCAGAAGTTTTATTGATGGTCAGATCAGCTGAATGTTCCTTACTATTCTAGTGGGCAAATAAGAAGCTCTGATTGTATAATTAAATTATGATTGCTATGGAGGAATATAGGCAAAAAGCATTAATGACTTCTGCATCAATAAATCATGGTCTTAAACAGCATGCTTTATTGATTCTTGTGATGCTTATTTCTCACTCACCTGTCTATTCTACAAGAGCTTGGAGACAGTGATAGGAGTGACTCCGCTGGCGTTTCTGCATGGGACCCATTCAGGGTTGTAATTCACAGCTTTCCACTTTCAGTCTAGAATGTGCTATAAAAATTCTTTTCCCAGCTATAAAACTTTTGAGCTAATTTGATAAAAATGAACAAACGACAAAAGCCAACAACATTTGCAGAAATAAAATCGGTTAAAACTTAGTCTGCTGTGACCAGGGGGACCCAGAAATGAATCTGTGACAAAAGTAGTCAGGTTTTTGTTTCCTTTACTGAAATGTTTGCAGTAGGTACTTTTATAGTTTCATAAGGGATAGATACTTTGGGCTGCATACAAACAGATTTGCAAAATAGATATTACATATGCTATGTCAGCATAGACTGAAATTATCTTGATTAACTTGCCCCTCTCATTTTCTAATGTGCTTTGAGAAAGCTCTAATCAATTTTCTTGTATTTTGTAAATTTTTGGTGCATACACTGTGCAAAACTTAAAAATACCAAAACCCCTTTGTCATCATCGAGGAATGTTTAAAAATAGCATTACCACAAAACAAGGAATAAACAGTTCATTTGTTGATGTGATGAGTGTGCGATATCTGTTCTGAAGAATGCAGAAATAAGAAGAGTTTATTTCTTGCACCTGATCTTGTCTTTACATCAAGAGTAATCCCATTGAAGACAGTGGATTTACATGCTTATAAAACTGTGTAAAGACACTTGAAAGGTGTCTGTGGCTTGCCCTCATTACTAAATCTCCTGTTAAAAGGATCTGACTTCATGAGGGACTTTGAACTTTTGACTGAGACAAATAGTTAGGTTTGGGTTCATAACTATTAATGAACTTGTGCAGAACTTTGCGTCTTATCTAGATATTGTTTTTCTTTTGGGGACCTGCTTGGTCTTTTGTCATGTCCATTGTTTAAAGTGGATTCATTCAGCTTTTTGTAAGTACAGAAAATGGGGCAGAGAATTCTGCAGCAGTATTGCATTTTCAAAACATTATAGGTTATGAGAACTTCATTGTAATTGACTCCTCGTGCTAAGAATGATAAAAACTTAGTGCTGCTTCTGCTGGCGCTAGCAGCTAAATAGCCTGTCTTTTTTTTTTATGTCCTCTCTTTGAACCCTATAAACACTCAAGTACCTCTCCTTCCATAGACACAGAAACCACTTAGTCCTAAGAAGAGCCTTTTAAAGAGAGCGTAGCATGTTGTAAAGCTGCAGAACTAGCCTGATGTCATTTTACATGATGATGGTTCAGATTTATCTCAATGTATTTCCTTTCACCATTTGGATATTGTTCCCTGTCTCTCCCTTTCTTTACAAGGATTTTGACCATCACTGCCCATGGGTCAACAATTGCATAGGACGGAGGAACTACCGCTATTTTTTTCTCTTCTTGCTGTCCTTAAGTACGCACATGGTTGGAGTATTCACCTTTGGGCTCATCTTCGTATTAAACCATATGGAAAAGCTGGGAGCAGCTCATACCACCATTACGTATCCTTCTTTTTGGTCTTTCAAGATACAAGGTGGCCTTGAGGAAAATGTGAAAGCATGAATCTGAAGATTTGTCTTCCTGGAACTGGTGGAGATCTACACCTCTCCTGATCCCCCATTGCTGTTCCCCTGTAAATACTTACTGTAGGTTTTACTCTGTACCTATCTGACCTGTGTAACCATCAATTGCCCCCAAAACTATAGCTGAACTTTTGTCTATCTCAATCTTTGCCGTGACAACCCAGTAGAAGAATATGCTACCTCCTCAAATTTTACTTCCAACTGGGTATGACTCTAAACTGCTGTGTACTGTGTACAGTTTTAAATACAGGTACTGCATTTTAAAGCAGAGGTTGCTGTGGAAGCAGCCCCGTTGCATGCTGGTGTAATACACAAAGCCCTGGCTCTGAGGAGTGCTACTCCTGTTGGTAGATTAGTGCAGAATGGTCTTTACAAGATGGTTAAAGCCAGACTCATTAGTTCACATTATGTTTTAACCATCTTGAGGATAAGAACCCAGGCTAGGAGCAAACAGACTTTGAGATAAAATTTAGTTAGTCTAATTAAAGGTGAGAGACACCCTCCCTATTTACAAGATTTTTTTTCTCCTTTTCCTCTACCTGTCCTGCATAGCCTCTTTCTCCCTTCACTCATCCCAGTTTCCTTAACTCCTGGATACAGAATGGCTGTCATGTGTGTGGCTGGGTTATTCTTTATTCCAGTCATTGGTCTCACTGGCTTCCATATTGTTCTAGTGGCCCGAGGGCGCACAACGAATGAACAGGTAAGAAGCTATCCTTTCTCTGTGTTTGTGGCTAAGATGTTGAGTTGGAAGGAAAGTGAGCAAATCAGCTTGGATTGCCTAGTTTTTTATTTTCAGATTTTTTTCTTGAATGTACTACAAGCAAAGGTTTCCCCCTTCTAACCACAAAGGATCATCCCAGGCTTATTTACCAGTTCAAATCTACTCATGGCCTTGAAATAGGTTGTATGTGGTGAGTACCATCAACCCTAGAAGTTCAGACTTTATGAGTCAGACTGAACAAATAATGAGATTGAATGAAAGAAAGAAAGGAAAAGATTAAATCATGCTTTTGCCCTGTCTCCTGATATTTTGAACTCCCCCAGCTAACCCACACTGCACATAATAAGATCTGAGCTAGCTCTTTGTCTCACTTTCTTTGTCTCTCTTGTTCTCATGCATATGTGCACACGCACACAGAGAAGCTATTGGAGCTAACTTGTTTTGCTTCTCCAAACCATGTGCCAACGTGGCATCTTGTGCCAAAAAGCCTGTAAAACTTTAGTTCCCCTGAAGTTACTCAAATGTATATAATTCACATCCTCTGTGTGGGTGATGCAGACCTATATGTGTGTGCATATCAATACCATGATACAGGTGATAGAGATCTAGTCATGGGATCGGGAGCATGCCCCTGCCATTCAAAAGGGGTAGCTCAGTTAGAAAGCTGGACACTGGGTCATGCAGCATGCCCGTCAGCTGCACACAGCACTTTCAGCTTTCTTCCCAAGGCTAATTAATTATGTGCGTTCCAGTGCTTTACTCTCTCACAGCTCCAGCTCCACAGCACCCCTCACACATCTTGTTTTTTTCCACATCACACTTTTTCACTGTTTTTTTTTTCCAAATGCATTTTTACTGCCCTGGCATCTCTGGGTGCTCTCTAGCTCATACTGAGCAGAGTGCTGTTCTGGCTGTCCTGCAGACTGATGGCTTCATGCTGATGTAGCTTGTATGGCTGCTGTGCAGACTGTAAGAGCTGAAGACATCTGTCTGAGGCCAAGCCTTTGTAAACTAGGATGAGATTGTCTCCTATCCCACAAGAGACAATAAAGACTTTTATCCAGAATAGCGTGGGAGGTTTGCATAACCAAAGAATCTGAAGTCATCCTGAATTGTTGCCTAATGTGGACTTTGAACAAAGCAGGCTTACTGTAGCTGTAGATTTTTAAATACTTTTCTCTGTCCTGCTTGGAATCACCTGCTCTTCATTTTAAAATTGATTTTGTCCAAGTATTAGGTTTTACAGTGCTAACAATAGTAGCATGAAACTCAGGGCATTTTGGTCTCGTAGTCCAGATCATGGTATAATCTATCTTCTTGTGTTTGTGGTTACACTAACATTTAGGAAGGTTGAGAATTTTGCATTTAACTTGATTGGAAAATGCATCCTAGCTTGGTTTGGTTTCCTGAGCTACCAAACCACTTGAGATTAACTCATCTTCCCATCCTGTTTTCTGAAAATTAAATATAATCTGGTCTTAATTTCTGTTTAGCCATATATACTGCCTATGTGTAACTGGAGGATGGATGTTCCCAGCCTTCAGGTCCCTTTCAAAGGAAGCGTATCTAAGTAATTAGAGCACCAGACCAGGAGTGATGGATATGAGATCTGCTCCTGGCTTTGGCACTGTTTTAAAACATTAACTTTTCTCCTGCAGTCTCAGTATTGATTCTCTTTTCTCACACTGTTAGTTATCTGCTGTCAGCTTTCCAGTTACAGTATGCTCACCTACACTTGTCCTCTTTTCCCAGTATATTTTGTAGGCCAGTGGCACAGAGATTTCTGGTGTTTTACTGTAAATTTTTGGTATTTGTTCATTCCGGACTTCATAGGTTTTGAGCATTCATAGACAGACTGTGATTTAGGAGTGCAGCGTGGCTGAGTTTAGATGTTTATGGGCTTTCTGAATGCCTCTGAAAGTCTTTTATAGAATCAAAATAACCCATAACCCAACATCTGCTCATATCCTGGTATTTTTAGTTTCTGAATAGAGTAAATAAATATCCTTCCTTCTGAGACTGTTCTCCATCAGTGGATTTCAAACTACTTTAGAAATCAAATTGATATAATTAGTAATGTGATCTGTGAGTTAGAGAAATTTTATTTTCATATTGTGTTTGAGAAAATGGGCACAGAGAGATGAATTGCTTTGCCAGCATCTGGCACAAGTCAGCTTAAGCCCAGGATTGAGTGCAGATGTGCCAAATGTCCCAGGCCCATGTTTTAGTCATCAGGTTACTCTTCCAACACTCAGAACTTCCAACATTTCTCTCTTGGCCTTTTAAAGAGTTTTATGGTTTTTAGGCCAGCGTAATATATTGCAAAATCATTTAATAGTCGTTATTTTATGTGCAAGTAATTAAAAGTATTTCTGGTGCTCTGTAAACTTGTTGCTAGATCAGAACTATGAGTTGATTAAAATGCATTACTTGCAAATAGCAACAGTAATGCTTTTAATGGCAACCACTATTAATCTCTCTGGCTTTATTGGTATTTATCCCCATATGGTTACTTTCAAGTATCTGCCTGTAGAGTACAAACCCTTTATAATGCTTATGAAGCTTTGAATGGATCCCACCAGTCTAATGAGGCTTGGCTTTTATTAAACTAGCTCATTTCCAAGCAAACATCATAATCACCAGGGAGTTCCTGGCACCCTCCCGCATAAGGCAGTGGTTCATACTGATTGCTGCTGGGGATGGGATACTGTTAGAGAGGAAACATTGCTCTCATCCAGCATTGCTAATGCTGAACTGACATTCTTATTTGGAGGGGACTTGCCAAGGCAGAGGAGTGGAAGTGACAGGGGAATGAAAGGGACCAAAACAAGATGTCTGGCTGATGGCAGACATTAATCTAACACAGGAGCAGAATGGAGGGGTGAACCTGACCACTTTGAAACACAGTCACATTGAGCTCACTGCCCTTTTGGGAAGGGATCTTTAGTTGGTGTGCCTGCTAGCTAGAAGCAGCTGACGGAGGTGGTGTGTGAGAGCAGGAGAGAGGAAGTGCAGCATTTGGAGAAAAAGCATCTGTTTGGAAAGGACAGTAGGATCAGAGCAAAGCATACTTGTTCTTGGCTTTCTGAGGGTTGGATGATGACTTTCATATAACCAGAGGTTTGAGCACTGTCCTGAATATGTGTCCAGGTGACAGGTAAATTCCGTGGGGGAGTGAATCCTTTTACGCGAGGATGCTGTGGAAATGTGGAACATGTGCTCTGCAGCCCCTTGGCTCCCAGGTAAGAGAAATGCTCTCAACTGGGAATGAGGGAGGCAGAGTAGTTGCTGGGACAGAGGAAGAACGCATGCTTGGTTGGGCTCACAAGTGAAAGACCACTGATGAAATAACAGGGAAGTGTAAAGCAAAGCACTCCTGAAGGCAGACCACTGTGATAGCTGCTTCACAGTTTCATGGCTGTAACCTGTCCAAGCAGTGGCTTTCTTTGTGTAATTCATAACCTTGATCCCAGAAATGTTTATTTGGAATGAGCATGTCAAATTATATCAAGAGCTGATACTCTTGTCTTCACCAACTTGTTTATCCTGTGGATTTCAGTAACAAGGTGAGTTTCAGTATGTTATCATTCTCCCAACACGACTTTTTGCACTGTACATTAAATATCCAGGTATTCTAGTCTACTGGAGAAAAGGAAGGAATCTAAAATCAGCCTTTCTCCTTAAAACTTTAATTTAAGACCACTGTGGTTTTCAATCTCGTTGGCCCTTTCATTATCATAAAATAGATTTTCAGTGAGGTCTACGTCACGGAATTTGGGATTCTATTTATGGCTTTCTGTTTTTGGGGGAAATGGATTTATTTTTTCAGATTTTGAAATCAGGATTTGAATGCAATAGATCAGATGGAATATAAATGTCCTAGGTGCTGAGCTGTCCAGCCTGCAAACATGTTAATAATGGTACTGCATGAAGACTTATTTGAGCCTTTTCAGGATGTTGAGCAATTCCAGACCCTGACACAATTATCTGCCTTTTTTTTTTCTCCTTCACTATGCAACAAATAAGTTCTAGAGGTTTGTTACTGTGTTAAAGTGAAGGTGCTGGAATAGCTGCTTCTCAGAGTTACCAGACTTGAAAATCAGGTCAAGATACTTTGAGAGCCAGATATTAGAAGTTGGGAGACACTTCTGTTAAGAGGGGTGTGAGTACTACCATCATGGCTATTCTGAGACTTTTAGCAAGCAGAATATTTGTGTTTCATGAAGACCTGTTCAAGTTGTCCTGTATATTGAAAGTCACTGAGCCATCAGTACTAGAACATCCTATTCACTAGATAAAACAGAGAAAGCTCATGTCAGTATTGATATTTATGCATTGTACAACCACTGCCCAATTGCACTTACAGAATTCTAGTCCACTGGAAAGAAATTAGATATCTAAAGTCAGCCATTTCCCTTTAGATTTGTTGCTTCCTATAGACCTGTCTGTTTCTTTTACCTCCATTTATTTGAACACTCTAAACATGCTACAGAAACAAGTCACTGTGTGGTAAACTAGAACTGACAGCAAATCATCTTCTCCATGTTAATTGTCCATGTGCTGGGTCTTATTCCCCCAGTCACCATCTTTTACTGCAGGGAAGCTGTTTCATGTTAACTAGGTAAGATCTAGTAAATGGTTTGTATTGGTGGTAGGCCTCTCTCTCTTCATGTGAACTGTGCTCTTGTCCTTCAGTGCTTCAAAAATTGCTTGAGTTTTTTAATGCTTCCTCTCCATTTGCTCACTAAAAACCCCCATAGATCTTTTTATTGCTTTTTAATTATTATATCCATTGAAATAAATGGAGTTTGCTTACCTAGATTCTGACACATTCTTAAATCATACCCTGGAAGCAGGAAGATTTTCTTGTCTCTATGCCTTCTTCTTAGATTATTGTTTATTTTAATTATGACTGTTGAACAATTAATCAGGTACATAGTTGAGCCCAAGAAGAAGCAAGCTGTGAGTGTGAAGCCTCCTTTCTTCAGACCTGATTTATCTGAGCGACAGATCACAGTGAAGATCAGTGACAATGGAATCCAAGCCAACCTCAACCGGAGCAAGGTAAGGCAACCTTCAAGCACTGCTTTTGTAGAGCATGGATTGAACATTATCAAGCCTGGGAATGAGTTTGTCATTGAAAATCTCTTTGAGATGATGCATTTTTGGAGAAAGTGACAGAGTTTGACTCCTTGTCATGTACTTCATCTTCTGAAAGTAACCCAGGTTCAGTAACATCAGCTCTTGATCCAGTAACAGCTGTTTTTGCAGCTGTATAACAGAATGCCTCTGGGCATCTTTGGGAAGCAGGGATTATTCTAAGAGTTGCCACCTCTTGGTGTTCAGGTAATTTGAACTAACCTAACACATTGCAGAAACCATTGTACCACCAGGTCAGCTGTTCTACTTCAAAGAAAGTTTTGAGCTTCCACACTGCAGGAAGGCTTGAGGTCCAGGTCCGGTGAAAGGAATATTGGCTCAGAAGCCGAGTTCTCTTCTGTCTTCTTTTTTCAGTTTGTTTCTCCTGACACAAAATAGAGAGAAGGATTAATTTAGTCATATAAAAAGCAATGGATTCAAAAGACACCACCTTGCAAGATCTTTGTGAATAGTTACTTGTTACACTCTTTGGATAGTTACTGGCTGAGAACCGCTTGCAAAGTTGCTGGAAAATGCTAGAAAACACCATTGTCTTCTACCACATATTAACTAGCGTGGTAATAATGTTATTTAGCATGCCAAGTAGACAAGGACAGTGCATTTAAAATTACACTGGCTTGTTATGACAATGCTGATTTTACACAACAGTCCTTGTCTGCAGTGAATGCTAAATCATGTTTGTCGTTACAGGCATAGGTAGTTCTTGTTGTGTGGTACAACCAGCACTCTGAAACATGCTGTTATTTAACCAAGTTGTGGATAATGATTGATTCTTTGGTCATTTTCAGTCTAAAATTAGCCTGGAGGGTCTGGAGGATAAAAGTATGGATGTGCAACCACCTCTCCCACCCAAAGGAGATCCAAGCAAGTACTCTGAGCTGAAAGGGCAGCTGGGAACCAATGAAGGTATAGTTGCATGATCAGTGTTTTATTTTTAATAATAAGAAAATATGTTAGCCTTTTAAAAGGCTTCTGGTACTCTTTCAAAACAGTAGTTGGATCTGGGTGAAGGGATTTTGGTATTTACAAGAGCTCTGAGCTAGGGGAATTAACAGCAGGAAAGGGAGAGAAAAGTCAGCTTGAAGCGGCTCATTCAAGGCTAAGTTGGATATTTCATTTCAGTCTTACAGAGTTTTAAAACCCTTTTAAACCTCTTCATATGATTTTGATAAATTTTAAAATGAAAGATGTTTTGAACTAAGGAATCGGATATTAGCATGAAATGTTTAGGCATTACAAACTGATTATTTCATTTATGAAAATGTGAAATTAAAGCTTTGATACTATTAAAAAGCTCTTTTTTTTTTCCCCCAGACAAAACTAGTAACTGAATTCAACACAAATATCCAGTATTTCAAATTATGGCAAAATTACTACTTAACAAAATATGTCACCCAACTTAATATAGTATACCTTGCTTCTTCTTCTCTTTAGGCTGCTGATCTGGCAGCAATGGACTGTTATTTCCACAGGGTCCCCATTGATTTTGGTGGAATTCTACACCAAAGGACTGCAAGGAATTAGGGATGATAATGTTCTGTCCACACATTTTATTAGAAAGTTGTTTTGGGTTTTTTTTCCTTTTACAGAAGGTGGCCTTTCACCCAAACTGATCAGCCCTCCTACACCTGCCATGTACAAATATCGACCAGCTTTCAGCAACAATCCCAAAGTCCACTACCATGCTACGGCTGAGCAGGTGAGTGAGCTTGGGAGAATCTGCTCCCAGATAACACCAGCCAACATGGAGCTGAGGATAAATTCACTGCAGGGCTCTAGTGAATGTCAGAGTGTAAAAGTAAATAACAGCACTTGGCATTGTTGTGCAATAGTGTGTATTTTCACTGTGCTCCTTATGAAAACATGTCTGCTTTCGCAGCTTTCCTCTGTTGAGCTTGACACGTCTGTCCTGCTGACAGTCATGCACTGCTGCTTTACCAGTGTCTCAGCCTGATCCTGAGATGCTGAGAAGTGTCACCTCCCATTGGCTTCTCCTAACACAGGTGCCAACTCCTATTCACTTCAGAGGGAGCTGGGCATGCTTAGCGCTTTTCTGGATCAGACCCTTTAGCCAACAGACATCATGCTCAGTGATTCCTTAATATGCCAGCTTGCAGAACAGAAACAACTTTTAAAGTATCTCAAGATATTTTAGTTAAAATTAATGGAGAATTCCTCATGTTTGACCTTCATTAGCAACTTCTCAGTGCATTTGGGTTATATAATGGAACATAACACTTGACATAATTTCCTCCTGTCAAGAAAACTGAGGTCCAAACAATTGAGAGACTTGCTCTGGAATTTTGACTGTTTTCTCTTTTGCTTAGGAGTTTTGATACATTTTACACTGTTTCCTTTGGAAGCAGAGTGCAAAACTAAGCCCACTGCTAATAGGTTTGTTTTTCTCACTTCTTTCTCATGGATTTGTTGCAAACATTCCTTGGCCTCCCAGGATCTGAGAAGCAGTTTGAAAATCACTGGTCTAACTTGTATATTTGCAATATGTATCCAAATCTTCATACACCACTGGAGATACCCTTAAAACACACGTACCACACACAGTGCAGTTTTCTTACAATTAATTTCATCAGCTCCTCCAGTGTCACCCCTGCAATAACAAGAAAGGGGTTATACAAGTAAGGAAAGGAAAATATGGTAGAGATATATAATTGACTACAGCAATGCTGGAATAAGGCAGAATGTTCCTTAAATCCTGAAGAAAACTTTCTAGTATCCTTCTCATTTTGGAACACAGATGGTGATAGATGATGGAATTCCAGCTACCACCAAGTTTGGGTTTTAGTTTACTGCAGTAATTGTAATTCTTATTCTCTGGATTGTCCACTTAATGAAGAAAAGATTGGCTTATGAAAGGGAACATAAGAACAACAGTGTGTTCACTGTATCCAAAAAGTTTAATATCCTACCATATTCACCTTATTACATGAAAAATGGCTTGACATCCAATTCAAAATATTCTATTTACAGGCATCAGCTATTAATTTTGATCTGTGTAAGCAACAGATAGTGTTTTGTGTTCATGATGCAAAAAATCAGAGCGCCATGGAAGGCAGGCTTGCTTTATTCATTCAGTACATAGCCATAGATGCAATATAGATACAGGAGAGGTTCTCATTAGGCCAGGAGACTGGGCACTGCTATGAAATGATAACAAGGTACAGCATCTTCACTCTAAGGATAGCTGTTTCAATCGTAACCTAAAAAGATATTGTTACTGTAGGTGGACTGGTGTGCAAACAATCAGTTTTGTGGACATGTTCAATTTTATAGTAGTTACAACTTTCTAGTAGTCAAGTGGGAATATTATAAAAATGAGTTCACTTGGCAAGCTGATAGGATAGCATGTATTTGTCTGACAAGCCATATCTAACTATAAGGTACAGAGGGAAAGAGAATAATTGGTGTGAGAAATATCTTATTGTCTCTTCTTTATCAGTCCTTCAGCTTGTCAGTGTAATTCTGCTTTTGAGCAGTGAAAGCTGTTAGGAAAGAGGGATCGGGACACAAGCATAAGTAGCGCAAATACACTTATAAGCTACGTCACAGATGTCTCCTTCTCCTTTACAGGCTGTCACTTGCTCTCCTTTTTCCAGAGAAGGCCAAATTTAGCATCGTGCTCTAGAAGATAGTGAGCTGGTTTGCATATTTCTCTATCTTCTTGCTCCAAGAAAAAAAACTTGAAGAAAAATTTAAAATAAAACAGATTTTTGCCAGTTAAGGCTTTTTTTTTGGATAATTTTCCTTTAAAAGAAATTAGATAAAGAACAAACTGCATTGACTGCATTTCTGATTAAATATGTGATTGATAATAATTATTTTTTTTGCAGAGCCAGTGTAGCTAATTTATTGTGCATTATGGAAAAATCTTCCTTAAAAATAATAGCAAAAATTCTTTGCATAGCACAGAATGGCATTTTAAGTGAACAGAACTGTAAGCAATCTTTCACAGAGTAAAACAAATTGAAGTCCTATCTGTTTTCAGTGCACATAAATAAATTATGGCCTATGTTTCCTTCTCTGATGGCCACTCTCTCCTACACAGGCAATAAAAAAAAGATAAAATTGCTTCGTTTTGCTGTCTAAAAGGTGAGGAGGAGCCTCTCTGTTTTAATTAAGCTTAAGTGCTTAATTTTGAAGACCTATGACCAGAAATTCAGAATTACTGAGTATTCATAGCTCTGAGTAAAGTGGATCAGAGTGTGCTGGTCCCCAGTGTGTTGAAATAAAGCCTGAAGTATTTCTGACTCAGCACACAAAACCAGACATCCCTCAACTCGAGAGCTATTTGTAGAAAACTTAGAAGTGCATTTTCCAAGGGCAGTATTATCAGGTTACAATCTGATTTACCTTGACCGAGACTTGAGTCTGAGTTTAGAAGGTCTCTCATTCTGTGTTTTTAGTGTCAATGTATTGACATATTAATGACTATCAATTTTATTTAGCACTTCTTAATTACTCCTCATTGCTTCTAAGGTCCTTCTCCATATGTTGAACAGGAGTTAGGAGTTTCCTTATAATGAACCTGTGTCATAGCAGGGCTGAGAGTCTGTGAGACGACTTCCAGCTCTTTTCTTCCTGTGCACTCACCAAGGAGAGTAAACCTGTACTTACATATCATTGGCATCTGTTTCTCATATTCACCTCTATTTTAGATCACCATGCAGGAGGGACACAGTCAAGGGGCTCTGATAGAAGAGGATGGCAGGAGCCTTGATTACCAGTCCGAACCCAGCTTGGACATCCCCAGCTACCGGAAGAGCTCCCTCCACAAGACCTATCAGTCTTCCCCACTCCAGATAGATTCTTTTGCCATCAATTCACGATCTCTAAGCTTGAAATCTGCTGGCAGGAGAGGGACAGACAAAGTGCCCCTTCATCCAATAAAGTCTGAAGGGGCGGCTTCCACCCCTTACAAAAGCATCTTTTCTCCCAATTCCCTGTCAAACAGAAATGGGAGTCTTTCATATGACAGTTTGCTAAACCCCATGTCACCCTCGGGGAGGAAGTGCATCGCCCATTCTGCAGTCAGCTCCGTTGGGTACCACTCCCCATATTTATCAGCCAAAATGTGCCATCTACGGGGCAGCGAGCTGCAACGCCAACCACCACAGAGCTTCAGCCCAGTGCTGGGGGGTCCAGCTCCACATCAGCGAGACCCTTCCCCAGTCCGCTACGATAACCTTTCCAAAACCATTATGGCATCCATCCAGGAGAGAAAAGAGATGGAAGAGAGGGAGAAGCTCCTCCACTCACACCCTGATTCAGTGTTTGCAGACTCGGGTGTCTATGACACCCCTAGCTCTTACAGCCTTCAGCAAGTCAGCACGCTCTCTGAAGACCCACGCAGCATGGCAATGAGATATGGATCTAGAGACAATCTGATGGCTGCTACCAGTTTTAGCACAAGGAACCCTATATTGCAGTCCTCAGTGTCTTCACTCTCAAGTGCAATGACAAGAGCACCAAGGACTTCCACAACCTCTCTGCAAGCTGATTTAGCCAATAATAATGTCCAGTCCCATCAAGCACTACAGGGCAGGGTGAGCAATGGCTCCTACAAATCCCCAGGCCACCAGGTCCCGTCGTCCCCCACAGGGATGCCTAGGTCACCCTCTTATGGAGGCCCGAAGGCTGTCTCGTTTGTAAACACTGTGGAAATTACAGAGGTGCAATCAGTGGGAGCACAAAGGTATGTACTGCTTTAGGTGCTGCTTAGCCACGTGAATCTGTTTGCAAGCATGTACAGAGCACTTCGCTGGAGGCACAACCCAGATTACATGTTTACTGTAGGCCAGTGAGGGTGGGAGGCTTGTGGGTGCTCTTCAGTTCTGTGACACCCTCATAGCAACCTCATAATGACAAAATGTTTGCACATTTGCTGTAACTTGAACTGCAAGTGGTCCATTAAGTTGTCAAAGTCATAGTGATATAGTGTCTTAGCTGAACTGGATAATTATTTGCAAGATAACGAGGCAGATTATCTCTCCTGTTATGCACAAAAGGATGGAGCTATTTTAGTTTGCTGCCTAAAGGGAGGCTTGACCCAGCCATTGCTTGGACACAGAGGCAAAGCTGGGATCACAGCACGTGCAAGTGCACCCTGCACTAAGGAGCAGAGGGGCTGAAACCAGTCCTGGAAATTGTTCTGTGTATTTAGCTGTGTTGAGTGTCCCATAATACAGAACTGGTGATAAAATCACAGACCATCTTGCATTACTTTAGGGGCTTCGCTGTCTCCTTCCTTTCTGTGAGAAAGTGTGGAGAGAGAGGATTTGCTGTACTGAGAGCCTGAGTAAGTGGTGTCTGAGCAAAATCCTCAGCTGCAGCTTCTGCATGCGCTTATCTTTTTTTTTTTCCTTTTGGAGCCTATAGGCCTTGGCATGAAAAGTCTGAGAAGAGCTACATGATCCCACTTAGGATGCAGTATTTCAGCCATGTTGAGGCCTGGAGGGCTCATCAGAAATATCTAGGTTTTCTTTGCAGCTGGCACTTACTGCACGTTGCTGTCCTCTCGTTAAGGTCTCAGGTTTCTCACTCTGGCATTATCCAACATTTTAGGGAAAGTTATTGTAATGTGGGAGAACCATTATTGTAGGTCTCCTGAAGTTTAGTGCCAGCAGGTTTTTCCTCAGTGTTTTCAAGTGAATTGTAATTGTTAAGATGATTTGTCTACTGGTAGAAGATTTAACATTCAGGAGGTAGACAGCCATTCTCTCTTTTTCATTTGTATTAAAAAAAAAGAGTTTATTTCAGTGAAAGAAGACCTGTGGACTTTCTTTTGCCCCTCTGCCCTCTGTTTGAGACCTGGATGTGTCAGCTGCTGCTGTAGGAAAGATGCTAATATGAAAAGCTGTTTGCCTGTTTTTAGTCTCTTGGTTCTTGGTTAGGCTGTTGGTCCCACTGGTTTTACATTGTGCTTTTTTAAAACGTAGAGCCTGTAAATTCACTTCAGTTCAGCTCTTTGAAGTAATGAAAAATACAGTGTCTGGCAAAAGTGGTCTAGCTATTAAAATAACCACAGATCCCATCAGATGTTAAAGAAAATTGCAGATATACAATACCACTGCAGAGGATTTTTTTTCCTGAAGTTCCTACAGTCAAGTCAAGTACCTAGATGAATAAATAAATAGCTTAACAAACTTGAAATTTTTTACCTGGGGAAGCAAACCTCCCGCAGGAATCATGTGCTTTGTAAACCTAGCACATTTTTGCTGTCAGCAACAGTACAAATGACTTTCCCTTCTCCCCTTGCCCCTAACACTCCCTATCTCCTTTCTGCCTTGTTTAACTGTGTTCTTTGGGAGAATTTCAGCACTCAATGAGGGATTTTGTAATGCTTTGGTGAGGCATATGTAGAATTTGATCCCCACATATTTTGGCTGTTTGGGGATACAACAGCGTTTTACGAAACCACACAATATTATTTCTATATTTATGTGTGTGTGTTTTGCTGGTTCAGATACCCACGACTGCACAAGCACAGCTTAAACACATAGCAGGAGCTGGGCTGGTGTGAGCTGAAGGACCTGATGCTGCAGCTCCAGGGTACAGCTGTCAGACCAGGTTGCCACATAAAAAGTGCTTTTAGTTTTGGAGCTATTCTGAGCCTATCAAGAGCTGTGTAAAAGTTCGGGGTAGTTTGCTTGTTTTGCAGACTTATGTAATGAAATAAATTGCCTTTTGAATTCAGTTAATCCATCAAACCCTCTGGCCTCCAGAAAAAGTCAAGGTGGTCTGAAATAGCTCAGGCCGCCTCAGTTTGCAGGCAGACAGAAAATGTTCCCTTCTGGAAGGTATTTCAGGCCCTGGTCACTGCTGCTGGCGTGAGCCAGTCTTAAACTTCAGACTGAAGCAAACTCAAGCACACATCCACTGTACTGTAGTAAGATGTGAGAATACAGCAGACTCTGGTTGTCCTGGCACTTCCAGAATATACACAAGTTCTTTGGTAGGCTTTTATCTAATTACTTTGTGAGTCTTGGGGACAAGACACATTTATCTTGAGTGTGTAGTGGCTTAGATTTAAAAGATCTTTCGAGGAAAACCTGTTGTCCATGCTCCCTGGCAGTAGGTCATAAGAAAGGAAATTATTTTAAAGAGTCCATCTGGAATATGGTCTTTAATTACAGGCATCCTAGAGTGCTTCCTGACTTGATTCAGTTTGTGTCTTCTGTCATAAAGTCTTATGCTTCACCTCTCATGTCTTTCAGAGATGAGCAACATAATTTCGTTTAACTGGATATTTAACTGGAAAGTGTTTTTTTTCTGAGTATTTTATTTTTGATTCTAAGACACAGTTTGGCTTAAGGTCGACAGTGGTAATAAAATTAACAAATATTATTGGGGTCTGATCCACTAACCTAATGGCTAAATTAATTCTCTCATTTCAGTGGCTTTTCATCAAGTGCATTGGCTTCAACCAAGTTGCTCCCACGCTTGAGTATTTTGCAACACTGGGACTCAGGGTGACAGGGATAATTGTTTAACCTAAGTGAGGCCATTCTGTATCACACTTTGGTCACTAACATTGCATCTTTTAATATTTCTTTTGATGCAGGGATGACATGCAGTTGAAGACACCTCACAGTAAAATAAATGGACAGCCAAAAGGAATATCCAGGTTGGGTTCAACATCAAGTTCCCAGGGGACGCCTGTCAGCCCTGCTAGACACTCAAACGTTAAGAAGGTGTCTGGAGTTGGTGGAACAACCTATGAAATTTCAGTGTAAAATAAAATTAATTAAAAATAAAGAGCCATCCACTCAGCCAGCCATGAAGCTAGGAGCACTGTGAAGACTCAAATAACAACAAAGAAGGAGCAGCAGCAGCCGGCCACTCTCCTTTTCTTGTTTTGGGTTTATTCTGTTTTCATCTTTCTCTTTTGGCCAAAAACCAGCTTGCAGCCTTATTCTTGAGGGAATAAAATTGTACAGTCTATCAGACTTTTCTTGAACTGACAGGCGGGGAACTGGCTATGACCTAACACCACAACCACAGAGCAGATTTCTTTCATGCAAGAGAGTGCTAAAGCCATTGTGCGCGTGTCTGTCCAACAAACCTGTTGTGTACCAGTCGTGCTGTGCAAAAGTATGGTCAGTCCAGGATCATTCAGTTTTTGCCATGCCCTTTCCCAGTTCTTCTGACCAGCGATGTGTCCGGCAGGAGTCAGAGGCCCAGCTGCTGTTTCATACGACATGGAAAGCAGGCTTCCTGAGCGGGGCAGTCTGCGTGTGCAAGAACTGCTCTGTGTCCCCGAGGCGTTGCAGGTCAGGTTGCTCCTCCTGGGAAGGAGCAAGGCAAGGGCACTTGGGCCATGAACGCCATGTCATCTGTAAAAGCCTCCCTGCTCCCTGGTCCTGGATGGAAGCAGGAGAAAGGATAGCAACAGCTTCTCACTGTCTGCCGTTCGCCTCCGTGTGTGTGAAATTGTGTGTGTGTGCGTGTGCGCGCGTGTTCATCTCTCGTGGAAAAAGGACCACAACACCAGTAAGGATCTTCCACTCTGACCTCTTGCTCCCTCTGGTTTTTAAAGGCTTCTCTGACTCAGAAGCAAAACCAAGCAGATAAGAAAGGAAATGTTTGGATGGGAACATATTTTAAACAGCCATCAGCTGCTTTCCCTGCACCCTCCTTATTACCTGTTGGATTTAGGCAATAACATGGTTTACTGCCTTGCCCTGGTGCCGTCTGTGTAATCCTGCAGCAAGGTTATCATGATCTGTTGAATTTACAGTGTTTGTAACTGAGCCAAGTGTACATCTAAAGGATATAAATTTTCTGTCTGCCTAATTACTAGCACATTCCCTCTGATCTTCAATACTGTTAGACAAAGGATTTTCCGTTTGGGTTTTTTCCCCCTTTGGAACAACTTTTTAAAATAATACCCATCAAATCTACTTAACTTTCTGAGGTTTCCTTTTGCTGTCTCCAGAAAACTCAATTTACTTTGTTGGATTTAAAGACAATTTTACTATAAAAAAACAAGAAAGGGGTGCGTTACTTTTGTCACAAATATGAGGACTTTGGCAAAGCTAATTTTGGGACAAATAGAATTTTTTGTTCTTTTCTTTATTCCTTCTCTCCTTTTCCTTCCCATTCAGTTACCACCTCAGAAGTCCAAAGTACTGAGATCTGGACCAATGCTAACTAGCCAGATCATGTGTGCAATTCAGAATATCCTGAGTGACTGTTGCCAAAGTCACTAAAAATGTTTATTTATCACTGAGCCAGTCAGCATACAAAACCTCAACTTCCCACCTGGTTCTCCTGGTGAATAGTTTGGCTAGAGAGCTAAGTTCATCATTTTTCCAGATATTTGTTTCAAGGGGTTGAATCCTTTTCACTTCCTCACTGTAACGGAGAGCTCTCCAGATATTTGGTAGCAATTCAGAATGTGTTGATAACATCTTACTTGTTTTCATGTATGTTGAGATTAATTATTCCAGAAGACAAATCTTAACCTCAGTTTTTCCTGGTTAAAATTTATCTTTTGATTTGATAAATCTTGACATCTGCTGCAATACATGCTTATTATGTCCCTGGTATATCACATCATTTTTTTGGAGAGGAAGGTTGAAGAGAACATAAGAAACTTAATCATCTCTCTGTGTAATGCTCTATGTTGCCTGAAGGGAGAAACCTGGAAAGCAATGAAGCTGCAATAGGCCAAAGTTACGAGAGTGAGCTAGAAATCAGTGTGCATTTTATTGCCTTTGTGATATTTTAAATGCCTACTGTAGGGACATTGCAGAGCAGAGAAGCAATAGTCTTTCTATGCAGATTTACTCACTGGCACGTAGAATATTGCCTTTAGTTGGAGGTACCACAGTACCAGAAAGGTGCTGGCAGACTGGATCAGGTAAAGATGGAGCAATATATATTAAAAGATTGGATGGGATGGCTGATGAGAAGATTTAAAGGGCTAAAAACATGTTACTGGCTAAGCAATGAAGTGGAAATTGAGTATCATAGTTTTGCAAATATGTTAGTTAAAAGATGTAAAACCAAAGGTTAATCAAAGGGTTGTCACTGGTAACCAGTGATCAACATTTAGAAGGGGGCAGAAAAGATGGAGGGGAAAGGGCAGTGGAATAGTCTTCCAAGGCAGAGTATTGGAGACTATAACTATTTAGGACAGTCAAACTGTATTTGGACGAGTCACTAAAAAAATTTCTGTATGAGGTGAGCCTGCAGGGGCAAGGGGCTAGACCAGATGGCCTTATAGATTTCTTCCATCTGTAACTGTAATTAATCTGCAACTCTACTCTGCTGTTAACTCCTCAGGAAGGTGCAGTACTTCCTCAAGGACTGGAATTCACTCTGGTTCATAGAGTATCACAAAACTACTTGTTTTTAAAGTATCATGTATGCCATATGTAAGCCCTGAAAAAGAGGGGATATGTGACACACTAAATTTGGGATAGGAAGCTAGGCAAGGGCACATTTTATCATGTATCTTTGAATATGTACATGAAATTCATGCAAGCAAGGCTGAAAATTTGCACCATTGTAATATTTGAGATTTGCATCCCAGTGATGCTCCACTTTGATTGTTCTTTTCTCCTGCATTTATAAACAAAAAAGCTACTGAGGAACTTGAAGGGCCAAAGAGCCTTTGAAGTTAACTACATTAGTTCATGAGAGAATTTCTCAGTAAGACTAAACACAGTATTGTCTGTATAAAGCACTAATATCCAGGGTTATTTTGATGTAATTCACAAGGAATAAGGGAGGAAAGAATGAATGCACTGTGTCATAACACATTCAGATGTAAGGATTATATATTTTGTGAGTAGTTTTGCCCGCAGTTGAGAGACATTCGACTTGTTAATAGGTTTACAATGGTACCAAAGTCTTTTTTTTTTTTTTTCCTTTTGAGGTTTGCATATAATTCAGTGCACATAGCCTGGAGTAAATTATTCAAATCTTCTGAAAGAATAATCTAAGCAGAAGTGTTAACAGGAGATTGCATGCAGCAAATCCAGACTCATTTCCATCCAAGGCACTGAACCTGCAGCTATTTTCTCGTAAATGTAAGTGTCTGTTTCCATAGCTCCTGTTGTGGGACTTGGGACCTATTTATTAAGCGTAATTTTGGAGCAGAATCCAGCCCATGTTAAAGTATAGTTCTTCAAGCAGTTTACAGGTTAGCAGTGAGGTTCTTCTGCCCAAATAGTCTCAGTTTTTACAGACACTGCAGGCCAAATCTTCAGCTGGTGTAAATTGGTGTGGCTCCATCAAAGCTCATTTAAGTGATGCTAATTTACAGTAGGTGGGGATCAGCCATGAAAATCCAGCACAAGTTAACATGTCTTGTAAAGTAGCTTCTTTATTTTTGTCATGTTTATTTCATGTTTCAGAAGTCTTAAATCTTTTCAACATGTTTTTATTTTTAGCTGTGGATTGTATTACTTATTTAAAAAACAGCAATAGTTTTTGTTTAGTTTATGCATCAATTTTCATTGCATATTGCATTTTATTAGCCATTCATTCCCTCTTCATACACTCCCATTTAGCCTCCAGGTTTTCATTGTAGTACAATCTGCCTTGAAAAGTTGGATCTCTGTATCTTTCATTGTATAATATATTGAATATTATGAAATTAAATGTACCTTACTACATGGGTGGGAGAGAGAGGAAATATTTTTACTTGAAGCCTTAATATTTTCTTTTTTTACTACTTTGTTTGTTGACCTCATAGGGAAGTCTGAATAGCAAAGACTTTGAAACTCTGGGCCAAATACTGCACTGACAGATAACCAGCATTTGGCCCACTATGTCAAAACTGGATGCAGACATAACCTGAAGTGAGCAAGGAAAAAAGCCTCAGGGTGGCATATTTTCCTGGAGATCAGTCTCAAAATGTGTCTGTAAGCAAGTACGTTAAACAAGTCTTCAAGTCTTGAATTTTTAAGAAAGGCGATAGCAGGAACTGCCCTAATATCTGACATTTGCATTTTCTTTTTAAATTAAACTGAACAAAACAAATGTAATGACGTAGTTTGGTTCAAGTCGGCTCTAAGGGTTGCACAGAGCTATGTGTTAGTAGCCATGTGCAGCAAATGAACTGTGTTGTGTTGCTGTTCTAAAGTTGCTAATCAAGCATTATGTTATGTCACCTTGGCCTAAGATAATCACCTCACGGGCGTTATAATGGATGTTCCTCAGATGATGCCTATTCTCCTATAAGCCTAATGTGGAAATTGCAATGTGATTTTCTTTGGACTATATCCGTGGTCCAGGCTAGAGGTATAGATAGATATATAGATATATATATATATTCAATATTTTTTTGTGTGTGGGAAAGATGGGGTCAAGGTTGCTGTCTCTGACAGTCTGGAAAGTTAATGTCAAACTGTTTTTATGGTCTGTATTTCACCTGTTCTGCCACCTTGAATTGTTGGAATGTATCCGTGCAGGCTTTGTGGAGCTCTGTCTGTAACCTTTTTGTGGCTCTCGTAATACATATATATTTTTTAAACCTTTGAGTCACTTCAGTATTTTCAAATGTCTAGTCTTCCCCAATGAATTACGCCTCACATGCATTTCATTTGCCGAGATGGTTCATGGTGCAGTGCCCTTTTTCACTTCCACTTGTGCAAAACATGAACTGAAACAGTAGAACTGGAAAAATCTGCGCATGAAAAAATATTTTAAAAACTGATTGCAGGTTAAGTCTCATTTTCAAGGTGTTATGGTAGAGTAGAAAATATAGAGTCTTTAAAAGAGTGTCTTCTAGTTGTGACAAATGGCTCCTGCTTGTCAGGCCACAGTAAGTGGTCCATGAAACAACACTAAATGAATTGTTTTCTATACTATTTTTTGTTCAAGTTGTGGGGTTAATAGGGATCTTGTGGCCTGGCACAGTTGTGAAGTATTGCTTCAAAGTAACTGTAGAAAAAATGTTATATTGGTACTTGTTGAATTGTTCTATCTAGGATATCTAGGTTTATAAATCCTGAAGATGTACAATTTTCAATCCATCTATCTATCTGTTTCTTGTCTTTGAAAATATGTCCATTTGATCTGTCAGACCGGCTTGTAACACACACAGTTGCCAAGCCCTCCTCACAGCAGCTGCTGCAGGATTTCTGATGCCATAATTTGCATATATAGGCTAATTACATTACGCAAGGATCCACTCAAGTATGTTCATTATGGATGCTAGTCATATTTGTGTGCTGTCCTGTCTTCACAGGGCAGAGATTACCTTATATATAAAATGGCCAAAACAAACATAATCACCAGGCTCCATTGATGTTGGGTACATCAAACAATTATATAAGCTCATGATCTGTTTTAGTACATTCAATTTAAAGACATCTTGGCTTACAGTGATCTTGGCTTTCCTCTCTCTAACTAATGGATAAATTATCCAAGTTTTTATTAATTTCTCCATTATTTTTATTTATGTTATTTTTTATTCTGCAGGACAAGTTTCAGTTCACATTTTGGAACATAATAAGGAGAAACAAAGGAAACTGTGCAGGTGAATATTCTTTTAAGAGAGGAGCCATTATATAATAAATAGATTAGAATTACTGTAAAAATAGGGGGGT